AAGAGAGGGAAGAAGCCACCCAGGAGGTGGCTTCTTGGAGAAGAGAGTGAGAACTTGGGCTTCTCCCCTATCTGAGGAGGACGCCCATACTCAGGGTAGACTGGTTCTGTGGTTGATTTCACTAAATTAATAATAGAGAAATAGGAAAAAAAGAAAGAAAGAACATTGGTGTCCAGGAGAAGGAGAATCTGCTCATGCCCTTGGTTGATTAGGAGAAGGTCATTTGATCTGTCTGTGTGTCACAGGCAGAGCTACAGTATAAATCTGCAAGTCACTTTGAAAACTTTTCTCCTAAGAGGCTGGGTGGGTGACTTAGAAGTAGCAAAGAAACATGGCTCTTGGCAGCCATCCAAAGTCCTGACCCTCTTCTTCTCCTTCATAGGTGTAGCCTTTCCCTACACTGGAGCATGAAATCTGAGACTTGGTTTTTGATCTATATCTGGGATGGCTATAGGTGATTCAGTGCTCATGACCTGTTTGGAAGCAAGGCATCTTAGGCTTAGCTAACGCAGATATCCACGTGGTCCCCAGAATCTAGCTAAAATAGAAATGAATCGGAGAGAATGCAGACTCTCTGTTAGAATAAGTAGGAATAGCTAATATTTATTGACTGTTTATTGTGTGTCAGGCACAGCTCTAAGGAGCTTTGCAGCTGTAATTTTATATGATCCCTGAACAGCCTTAGGAGGTTACTGTTCTTATCCCCACTTAAGGAATGAGGTAATAGAGGTTTATAAAGTTTAACTTGCACAAGATCACAGAGGGGCAGAACCAGAATTTAAACTTTAGGTCTCCCATTTCTTACCCATTATATTAGATGACTCCAAGATTTACAAATAGGAAAAGAACAGAGGCTGGTAATGAACATTGTTCCCTGCCCAGCCCCTTCACGGCAGTAGAACCCACAGCTTAGGTTTATTCATGAGGCTAGCCTTTGGCTTCTCTCAGTAGACTGTGAATTTGAATCTCTTTACTTGTGTGTGTGTGTGTGTGTGTGTATTGGTTTTGCTTTTTAAAATTTTAGCAAAATAAATATTTTAGGAAAAGAAGAACCGTTTAGCTTGCAAGGATATTTAGAAGCTTAAAAATGCAATTGGATCATCATTTTGGACCTTTACAAAAACTAAAATTGCCTGGTTCTTTAAAACTTGCCAATGAAATGTGTTGTTCAGGATTCACAGATGAATTTCCAATACTTTTGCCTCTTCTGAAATTGTTTCTCTTAAAGAACAACACATGTTAGCATTGTTGTTATTGTTATTAGGGACTGGGTGAAATGATTGCCATGTATTTTCCCACTTAAATTGATACATGTATTACAGGTATTACCATTGTTATGGTATATATATGAGGTGTCCCCCAAAAGCTCATGTGTGATACAGGGCAAGAACTTTCAGAGGTGAAATGATTAGATAAGAGGGGTGTAACCTAATCAGTGGATTACTCCTCTGGTTTGATTAATAAAGTGGTAATCGAAGGCAGGTAGGGTGTGCTTGGAGGAGGTGAGTCACAGGGAGTGCTCCTTAGGGGTTTCTATTTTGTCCTGGGTGAGTGGTGCTCTTTCTCCTTCCTGGTTGCCATGTCCTGAGGTGCTTTCCTCCACTGTGCTCTTCTGTCGTGATATTCTGCCTCATCTCACATCCAGTGCTCAGACCATGGACTGAATCTCTGAAACTCTGAGCCAAAATAAGCTTTTTCTCCTCTAAAATGTTCTTGTCAGGTCTTTTGGTCCCAGTGATGCAAAACAATAATCACTTATCAATAATCTATTGTCACAGCCCTAATGCATAAGGAAAAGTTTAATGAAACCTCAGTGGCATACAGAAATAACTACTTACTGCTTCTTCATCTGGCACAACAGCTAAACGGATCTGCTGATCTTGGCTGGCCATGGAGAGTTGGGCTCACTGGAGGCTGATCGAGCCTGGCTGTTTTTGGCCTGAATGGAGCAAATCAGCTTCACGTGCCTTTCATTCTCCACCAGCAGGTCTGGTTATGTTCTGGGGACAATTGCAGAGCTCCGATCACAACTCTGAATAAGCCTAATTAAATCCATTTAATCTTTCTGCTTGCAACATGTCTGTTAATAGCTTATTGGCCAAAGAAAGTCACATGGCGAAGACTAAAAATGTAGGGGAGCACCTTAATGCACTCCTGCCCTTGGGAAACTACTGGAAAATAGCCTGGCAAAAGGAATGGATACAGGGATTGGTAATCTATGACAAGTTCTCAGTTTACAGATAGAGAAACTGAGGTCCACATAGTCAAGTGGCCTAGGGTCACATAAATATGAAGTGACCGAGCTGGAATTTGAACCTGCACTTGTCTTTCCTCCAAGCTGGAGTTCTTAATGATGGGTAGAAAAGGCAAGATTTAGAAACAAGCTCTGCCTCCAACTCCTTTCCAGATCTGAACAATCCTTTAACTCCCTTTTTGTTCATCTTCACCAGTGAAGACAAAATGCAGCTGTTGACATTAGGTAATGTGAATGCTGCCAGGAGTAATTAATATTAGCAAATTCTCTGAAATAATGCTAGATATTATGATCGAATATCCAGACTTTTAAATTACTTCCTGGCTTAATCTACATTTTGTATTCTTTCAGATCTCTATCACTTTCCAGAGATTAGAAATTTAGTACGTATAAAATCTTGTAATACTCTTCACTCCCCCACCCTCCAATTATCCTGCAGTGCCCCAATCTGCCTCTTTTGGCAGTAACTATGATTTAAAATAATGCCTTGTACAAATCACTCTCTAAGAAAACCATAGTAACATCTTTAAGGCTGTCTAGAAAGCTGTACATTTTAACAATGGACAAGTGTGTGCTCTAAACTGCTAGAAAAATCTTATCTTGCCAGATGTGGTGACACATACTTGTAAATTCCAGCAACTCAGGAAGCTGAGGCAGGAGGATCACAAGTTCAAGGCCAGACTGGGCAATTTAATATCTCAAAATAAAAGCAAAACGGGGTATAACCCAGTGGGAGAATAGCCCTGGGTTAAATCCCCAGCACCACAAAAATAAATAAATAAGAAAGAAAGAAAGGAAGGAAGGAAGGAAGGAAGGAAGGAAGGAAGGAAGGAAGGAAGGAAGGAAGGAAGGAAGGGAAAGGAAAGGAAAGGAAAGGAAAGAAAAGAAAAGAAAAGAAAATGCAGTCTTTGTGTCAAATGCCCTTTCAACACATGTCTAGTTTTACTTCATGACTGCTTGCTATTGTTATGGTTTGGATATGAAGTATCCACCCCACCAAAACTCATGCATTGAAGTCTTCCTCCCCATTGCAGTGATGTTCAGAGGTGGGGCTTTGGGGAAGTGATTGGGTCATGAGGGCTCTGACCTCATCAGTGGGTGGTAGAGTGGACTACTGAGAGTTGGAGGAAGTAGGTCACTGGAGACATGCCCTTGGGGATTATATCTTGCTCCTCTCCCTCCCCACTCCCACTCTCCTTCCTGGCTGCCATGCATTGAGCAGCTTTCCTCTGCCACTCTCTTCTTTCACGATGTTTCTGTCTTAAGCCAGTCACGGAGTGAAATCTCTGAAACCATGAACCAAAAAAAAAAAAAAAAAAAACTTTTCCTCCTTTAAATTGCTTATGTCAGGTAATTTGGTCTTAGTGACCAAAAGCTGACTGACAGACTAGTCTGTGTGTGTGTGTGGGGGGGTGCGGTGCTGGGGATTAAACCCAGGAGTGCTCTACCACTGAGCTACAGCCTTAGCTCTTTTTATTTTGAGACAGGGTTTTACTAAGTTGATGAGGCTGGCCTTGAACTTGTGATCCTCCTGTCTCAGCCTCCTGAGTCATTGGGATTATAGGCATGCACTACTGTGCTGGCCCCTATTGTTATTCTTTTTGATAAATCAGTTTCATGGCACATGTTTTGAAGAAAGTTGAAAAGCTTTATATTCTTCTACTGACCCCAGAAGCAAAAGAGCATAAAGTGGGGGCACATTCAGACACATTTCATGGTATGCCCTTTGGCCCATGTTCCCTCTGGTCCTGTTCTGGACCATTAACAGTAGAACAAAGACAGTCCCTTGGTTCTCAGGAATGGACATATTTGTAGAGCTCAAGGACCACTGAGTGTCCCTCAGGACTATGGATGAGAAGAGTGTTGGGCATCACTTTTGGAGTTAGGGAGAAAGACTTTGAAGGAGAAAGGGGGAAATTGGAGAGAAAAGATAAAGATGAAAGTACATTGCCTCTGGGATGAGGAGAGAGAACAAAGCTGATGGATTCCAGCCAATATGCAAATGATGCAGGCCAACTAAGAAACTCAATTCTGCTTCCTTGTGAACATCAACACTTGGGAAACCTGAGTATGTGCTGAATCTCCTCCACCAAGCTCCCCCACTCCACATGGTTCGGACCTGCTCTCTCCTGGACTGTGCACTCGGGGGGCGCAGGGGCTGAGCATGTCTTGACTGGTGTTATCATCACAAGGTAACCTAATGTGTTGTACCTGGTGTGTGCTAAATAAACGTTGATCAGCCAAATGGACCAGTAGCTAACTAGTACTTCTGGAGCATTCGTCTCACGAAAGCTCAGGATTGCTTTTATCTTGTATGACCAGAAAACTTAAGGCCGGAATGAAATAAAATATAACTCCAGTATTTAATTAAGTCCCAAAGGAGAAGTTTCTCATGATGGAGGAGAGGAAGGGAAGAAACATCACCGTAAAGTGAAGCAAGAAAGATCACCATAAAGTGAAGCGCCTGTCTTCTCGAGGTAGCTCTGGTTTTGATCCTATCACATGACCCAACCGCAGCTCCCCAGGAATACAACAGGAATAACATGTGAGGTGCTATATACGAGAAGGCTTCCGAAATAAATGTTCCAAATTAAAGCCAGGTACCATCATTATGTAAGACACAAGTTAAACTGGAGAGTAACTCCAGATAATTCAGGAAAGTTGTACTAGAGCCAGAACAAGTAGCATATATATATATATAAATATTTTTACAAGAGCACAAATCCAGTTTTATTTATTTTTTAGTTCAAATCCTTGAGCAGTACAGTGTCACATGGATTGTGTGCCCAATGGCCTTAACAGAAAGGCTGCTTCTGAATTTGGCATGAACCATGCCACTGTTTCCATGGGTACGAGCTACCTTTCCGCAGATTACTCTGGTTTTCTCTGATTTGCCACCAGGAATCATGGTGTTGTTTTCTGTTTTCTGCACATAAGAACATATCTTGCCCAAGTGGAATTCAGTTTCATCTCTGACATAAACCCTTAGATTTTTAGAAGAGCTGTGTACGCCCTTTAGTCCTGAAGATCTTGCTTATAGCCAACAAAAATGGCCTTGCACCCCAGCCTTCCAGATAGATTTTTCTTTTCTTTTTTTTTCTTTCTCTCTCTCTCTCTCTCTCTCTCTCTCTCTCTCTCTCTCTCTCTCTCTCTCTCTTTGGTACTGGGGATTGAACCCAGAGGAGCTTAACTACCGAGTCACATCCCCAGCCCCTTTTTTATTTTTTTATTTGAGACAGGGTTTTGCTAGGTTGCTGAGGGCCTTGCTTAATAGCTAAAGCTGGCCTCAAACTTTTGATCCTCCTGCCTCAGCCTCCTGAGTCCCTGTGATTATAGGCATGCACTATCACACTTGGCAGTTAGATTTTTCTTTTAGAAGTCCTATTTCTAGCAGGACAAGGTACCCATTCCTCAGGTGTCAGGGTCCCATCACCATCAGTCCCACATCTCCATTCCATTCTCCCTTTTTCCAGAATTCCTATAAATCACTAGCTGGAAGAGTCTCTGGGATGAACTGGTGCCTGACTAGGGTATAAGGATAAACCAAGTAGTGTATCTTTTTAATCTTTTGTTTGTTTGTTTGTTTTCCATGCCTGATACCAGGGGCACTTGACCACTGAGCCATATTGCCAGCCCTATTTTATATTTTATTTAGAGACAGCATCATGCTGAGTTGCTTAGCACCTCGTTTTTGCTGAGGCTGGCTTTTTAATCTTATATACAACTCCAGTGCCTCACATATTAAGTACATGGTCAATAGTGGCACTCACTAAGCTTTTATGGCATCAATGAATGATCCTCACTATACTATAGAATCCAAAAGTGATCCCAGAGAATTATTCTAGTCCTTTTTTACAATAGAAGATTTTCATATATTTTGTTACCATGCAGTTTTAGAAACTACATAAATTAATAAACAGTTGAATTGTTCAAAACTACTTATTGCTGAAACTCTAATGGAAGCAGTACTATATGTAGAGTCAGTGAACATTTATAGCCTGACTAGGATGGATGTCATTTATGTAAGGGATTTAGTTATAAGACTAAAGAAACTTCCAACCTCACAAGATCTCATTAGCCAGTCCTCAAATTAAACGGTAATAACAGGCCATAGAGGAGTCCTGGTTAAGTGCTTGTGGACGTAAGGGCTGGACATTACTCTGGTCAATTTCAGAGGAAAGAATGTGTGGTTTTCAGAAATGAAGGGAATGTGGAAAAGCCAAGCCCAGGGAAGACAAGATCCTGTACCTGCAGGATGTAGGGGCAGAACATGGAATGAGGTCCACCAGGCTCTGCAGCCAACATGACTATCTTTATCCTTTTCCTCCTTGGGTCACTCCATTCTTGATTCACAGAGCTGGGAGGGAAAGCCCAGTTGGCACAGCTGGGAACACAGACTCACTCCCTGGTCAAGGAAGGGTAGCAAGAAAGAGCTGCATGAACTGGGGACCACATGTTCCCCAGAGTCCAGCAGGATGCAACTGTGAGATGCAGGGAATCCCGCCAGCAGTTAGCTTGCTGAGAGTTCCAAGAAGGGGAACCCTGGTGCACCCTCAGGGGATCAGGATAGACATTTAAGAGTGAGTATGAATGAGATCAATGAAGAAGAACAGACTTCAGGCAGCCTTACATGAGGAGCAAGGCTTCGAGTTAGGGTTGAACCAGACAAGTCCACCAGAGGAGACAGAGAAGAAGGGTATTTGAAGATCCTAGTAGGAAATGAAGGTAGACACCAGGTTCAAAGCATACACCAATAACCCTGGCAGGGAAACACTAAATATACCGGACAAAATATACATCCTGAGAAGGCAAGAGGGACACCTGTGCATTTTTTAAAGAAAATCAGAAAAGTAAAGGACACATTCTGGACATGAGATTGAGAATCCAACTGAAGAATGAGTCTCAAAGATGGACGAGGTCCCTGCTTGCACAGAGACTAAAGGATAGGATTGGGAATGTTGGGATGTCAGCACGACTATTTTATTTTGGATATACCAGACCTTTGCAATTGGGGTAGAGATCTTGGCCGGTGAAGGGATCAATGTTGGATGAAGACTCAAAGATGAAGGTGCTTTGGAGTGTCCACTGTGGTCAGACCACAAAGCAATCAACAAGGGGTCAGTACAGGATTACCAGTGTCTCTGCTTAGGTTAAAATTAGCATGAATTCGAGATGATTTTCCAAATGACTGGATGGAAACTCTTTCCAGTTAATATCCAAAAGCTAGGGTTTCCAAAACTTTGGAGGAGATTTTGAAGATAAGGGAATTTATTCAGGAATTTAGCCTTTGTTCCTAGACTTAAAGGATTATTGGAAGCATTTGGAAGGCAGCAGAGTGGTGTATTTTGTTTGCGATGCTTTGCACCCCTTATTTATAAATGGAATAGTTGCTATACAAGTCCCTTGATCTTATATCCTTTTCATAAAATAAACATATTACCCGAAGCACCAGACATTTCAGTGTTTGACTTAGCACTGAAACAGGATCCTGTGTAGCTGTACTCACCCTTCTTCTGTCCTTGCCCATTATTTATCCTGGAGTTATCTCAAACATGGATTAAAAGAGAAAGCGTGAGTCTACAAGCAATCTTTAACCTCAAATATTTGATCTATGTCATCACATTTAAGTAGTTCAGAATCTGCTTAGAATAGACAAACCAGAGGGTTTGGCTTCTCCTTGCCCCTTTGACAGAGTCAACATTGTTAAGATTTATTAAGCCAGAATCTCCCCATGCCTGAGTCACCCAGCGGTGGCCCTTTCTCAGTTTGCTTAAGGCGATGCTTTATGACAGATCTGTCACTGCAAAATTAAAAGTAAACCAAATTTTACTTGCTTCAAAAGAGGCCTATGAATCATGTCTTAAAAAAATAATCACCCACTATTTCTCTGTTTCAAAAGTTTAGAATTTCACACATCAGGTTTACTTATAATGAAGTACCTCAAACCTTAAGAGCATAACCTATGGGGTATCTCCCTGGTCCTCAAGAGGCCCCTCAGTATACCTGTGTAATGTGTTCCAAAGAGTAAGCTAGTCATTGATGTAACTCATTGTAACCAATCACAATAACAACTACTACAAATCCTGTTGGTTGAATTTGTCAAAAGTTCTGGACAAATATGGACATAATATGGACACAAATATAGGCAATTGTGTTAAACTATATAAAGTTGATGTGATTATGAGGACCCATTTGGAAAAGAAAACAGAGAGATTAGGTAACCAGCCTGGCATTGCCGTTTGTAAGCACCAAGGCCAGAGTTGAGCCCACATCTGGGTGGCTCCAAAGCTGTGCCTTCTCTGTGGATTACTGTTTTCTTGCTTAATAAATGGTCCCATATGCGACCAGATTCCCAACCAGAGGGACTTGCACAGTTACTTGCTGTTTGTCTTTGATATTTTTAAAATTAAAACTTTCAAGCTTTTCATTTTAAATTAGTTTTAAGCCCACAAAACGTTGTACAAACAGTACAGATAATTCCAGTATACACAGATTCCCCCAACGTTAACATTCTACATCACTACAGTACAGTGATCAAAATCAGGAACTTCATATTGACACGACAGTCAACAGACCTTTCTTGAATTTTACCAATTCCCCACTCACGTCCAGGATGTAAACCAGATGACATGCTGCGTTTAGTTGTCAGGTCTTCGTCAGGGCCATCCCTATACTTGTGTGACCCGAAGAGCAAAGTCCCCCTTAACTCTGCACCTTATCAGCTTTGCCTGTTTCATCTCAGTCCCTTGAGACTAGAACAATTCTCTTCCTATCTTGGTCTTTAATGATACATTAAAAAAAAAAAAAAAAAAAACACTGGCCAGTTATTTTTGCAGAATGTTCCTGAATTTGCTGTTGTCTGATTTATTCTGCATAATTTGGGTTGTGCATTTTGTGTACTATAGATGTGATGTTCTGACCTCCTCAGTGCACCATACCAAGAGGCACCTGTGTGATTTTTCTAATCACAGCTGACTTTAACTTTGATCCTGTGTTTATAGTGATCTCTGCCAGATTTCTCCACTATAAATAACTATTTTGCCTTTGTAATTAATGAGTTTTTGTAGAAGAGACTTGTAAATATCCTGTTCCTCGTAATACTGTGTCCACTAATTTTATCATTCATTGATGATTGTTGACGATTCTTTCCTAAAATAATTATTGCTATAGTACTTGAAAATTGTGATTTCCCCTGCCATCTTAACTTCTACATTCATTAATTGGAATTCTATTGTAAGGAAAAGTTTTCTCTTCCTCCTTACTGTTCAGGCTTTTTATTTACATCAGTATGAATTCTTTTTTTTTTTTTTTTGATAGAGAGAGAGAGAGAGAATATCTTTTTTGTAGATGGACACAACACAATGCCTTTATTTTTATGTGGTGCTGAGAATTGAACCCGAGTCCCGCCCTGCTAGGCGAGCACTCTACTTCTGAGCCACAATCCCAGCCCCGGATTCATGGATTCTTATATTCTCTGGGTTATGTCTGTTCCTGTCATTTTCCATTTTGTTTGCTAAATTTATATTTGGTCAAGAGAACTGCTTCAGGTTGGTGACTGTATCCCCATCCTTAAAAAACAAACCAAAAAAAAAAAAACCCAAAAAAACACTTCCTTACTTTCTAACAACAGGAGATGTTTCAAGTTCTTCTTGCATTTTCCTTGCTTATCTCTGGGATCCAAGGAATCTGTTTTCTTTTGTTGGAGAATGATATTTAGAAGCCAATATCTGGATACTATACTCATGTTATTGGAGTAACATTGATTTCAGCCTCTCTCAATGAAGAGAGCTAGAAATCTATGTGAGGATACACACATACTGTTATGGGCCAGGCTATAAGGGCAATAACCAAACAGACTCCATTATACCTTGAGACTTCATATCCTGTAAGAAATGCTTCTCCCATGGGAAATCCCTGCCTCTGTACCCATTAATAGTTACCTAGCATAACATACTTGGCAACACAAAATAGCAATTCTTATACAATGTAAAATTGTTCTCTTTGGTTTCCATTTTTCTTGGGCAATGGTACCTTGTCAGAGACTGATTGTCTAGTAACCATTCTCTAACTTGTAC